ACCAAGACCGACTACAATGAGCGCATTTCCTATTTTTAGCGCAAATGTAATGAAATGAATTTAATGAAAATATTTGCTCGGAAATTTGTTTTGAATTTGCGTTATTTATAAATTAAATGGATTTTCCAGAGCGATTTCATTGTGCGAAAAGTTGTTGTTTTCAAAAATTAATTACATAATAATGTTTAAAAGCCTTTTTTACTAATTGCGCCAATCATATTTCTACTTAACTGCTTTTTTGTTTTTTGTGTAGGTAAAAAGCTTATGTAAATATAAAAGCTTTCACCATTTGAAAAAGTTTATTGGTTCAATGATTTTTTCTGAATTGAACTTCTTTTTGATAAAATTATGTAAACGGTCTTTAACTTTTTTTCAAGCAATTTGTAGAACTTTCATGTACAAATGTAAAAAGCTTTCACTAAAATCAGGAAGTTGTATAAGAACTTTTCAAGCTACTTCATGTATAACTTTCTTATAAGAATGAAAAAAGCTTAAACTAAAATCCAAATAAAGCCGTAGGAATTATGATAATAACTACCTACAACGATATAATGTATTACAAATATATAAAAATTATGATTTATAGTAACCAAAATGCTCATCAAGTCGTTGACTTTAATTTGTATACACTTAAAGATACTTAAAAGCATATTTATTCATAAAAAACTTTGAAAAAATAATTTCTATATTAAAGTGAAAAAGCTTACACTGTTCTCATGAAATTTCCAACATTAGGGAAAACTTAGAAAGTTGAGAGCTAATATTTACAAAAAACTCATAAAAAGCTTTCACGCAAAATATTTTAATATTAAAATATGTAAAGCTTTCACTGTTCACATTATTTTAACTAAATTAGGATAAAAGCTTTCACTTTTTTTTTAATTATCTACATGAGGAAAAACTTATTAAGTTGAAAGCCTTTAAAGATTCTTAATCACTCACATTAATCTTATTAAAGCTTTCACATACATATTTAATTTTCCATATTATACCTAAAAACCTTTCACTGTTCTCCTTAAATTGTATACATTAAAACACTTAAGCAGTTGAAAGCTTCAAAAGATGTTTAAACTTTCATACAAAACTTGTAAAAAGCTTTCATAGAACATTTTTCGATATCAAAGGTAACAAAACTTACACTGTACTCATTAAACTATGTACATTAGGAAAAACTTATGAAGCTTCAAGCGCTTAAAGATTCTAAAAAATATCTTTTTCATTAATTTAAATTCTTTTAACATACTCAAACCTGACACTTTTGCTTACTGGGCTGCTCCGTACAAGCCTGCACTTGCTTTATCATACTACATATGTATGTATGGTATGTACGAATATGTTATCGTATGTACACATATATGTATTTACTTTAGCATAACGGAGAGTGCTATGCGGTCACCAAGAAATCCCATTAAGTGACTTTAGTTGACAGTTTTTTCACTGTATGTACTTTTATGTTTTATGTCACCATCTAAAAGTTATATCTGGGCGCAATAATAAATTAACAACAACAACATTACGCTTGGGAGTAATTGAAGCTTTTTTTCATTTCACAAGTGTATTGTTTTGTGATTCTCCGGATTTAATTACATACTTTTCCTACTGCCTGCTATATTTTTGCAGCTATTAGTATGTGTATGTGTGTCTGTAAGAGACTAGTGGATCTACATATGCGCTTGTAGCATGTATGTTTATGCTAGATATTAGCTGCCTCAACTGTCTGTCTAGCGATATGTAAATATTTAGACGAAAAATGTGAAAACAAAAGTCAACAGAAATATTTTTGTGCAATACAAAAACAAAAAGAAGGAGAAGAACAAGCATAGTTTATAGTAGCCACATTTTTGGCAGCCACTACCATTTAGGCCACATTTTATTCTAAATAGACACACTAATAAACATTAGCGCGGCAATAGTGTTTGCCACCGCTTGTAGCCCGTTTTGGGCGCCCAGACAGCAAGGCAGCCGGCGGACTTCGCGCAGTTTGTGTGATAGTTGAAAGTTCTCAAAAACCGTATTGAGTTGGTTTTTCAGCTGTCATTTCGCAGTGCTTTCTAATGTGTAAACGGACGTACATATGTACCTGTTTGCATAGAAAAGTTGTGTGTGGGTCATATGTAGAAGAACGGTGCAAACAATTGACGTCGAGCCGCATCAGTCTAATGTGTGTCTCTAGCGTTGTTGGAAATGTGCGCGCCGGAATAAATTATTTTCGAAAACTCGCACAAAATAGTTTTAGAACGAATTTATTTATATGTATATAATTACATAGTATATATATTTGAACTGAATGTAGTGTGTTTTAAAAATTATTTATAAATATTGTGCAATTTAATTTATATATGAATATGTGTGTGCATGTGTTAAATATTTGGCAAGCTGTGATTTTGCAAAAACATAGTTCATTGAATACATTAAGAAATTTTAAATAAAAAAAAATAATTGATTTTTTCGAAAATATTTTTTAACGCATATTTATGCAGAAAATTATAAACACAACATAAATTTACTCAAACTTGTTGACAAGTGTCTGTCTGTTTTCAAATCTCAATATTAGTCAGATGCTAAGGTTTGACTAAGTAAAGTTTCGACATTTCAATAGATCAAAATAATAATTTTTGTATTGAAAACAGTTTGTTAACAGCATACTTTGATAAATAAAAATATTTTATTCAGAAAATATGTTCCAAATTTTTTTTTTTTTATTTCATGTTTTTGCGTCTTGTTTAATGAATTTGCTCTACTCTTCAAGTGTGAAAGTTATTTGCTTTGGTTCGAAAACAAAATTTGTTATTGCATTTTTTTATACTCCTTTAGTGTTATATTTGTATTAGCTTTATTGGTTGTCCCTTGAGCTTCCAAAAACATTCCACCATCCTTAAGCTTGAAAGAGCTGCTGTCCCATCATATTGCAATAACATACATGATTCTTCAACTTAAAAAGTCTCACTTCAAATGTGAAAGCCACAAGCAAGATTATATACTTAGTCTCGATTAATCATTATTCATTATCCCCACATGAAAAGCCCAGCGATAGAAAATAATACTTTGCCTTTTGTTTTCGAATGAAGAGTTAAGAGAAAAGCCGACTCAGCCCCGATTACGTAGACCCAACTGTCGTGGAAACAGCCCTATAATTGATTATTATCTATGGTTTGTAAACAAGACTAGCAAATATTTTCAACTAGCGTTTTTACTTGATTCTGAGTTTATGCTACAGAAACGATTATTTCATTGAAGTAAACCATCTGTTCTTGCACTGAAGCGTCTACAAAATTTAATTTTTTAAAGCAGTAGAGAACTTTTATATTTTAAACAAACTAAGCTCTTTTCTTTATAATTGTTTTCCATAAGCTTTTCCACACACGGCTTTTGGAAGCTGTCTTCGATTACTCAAACATTGAAAATTGGCGAATCGAACAAACAACTGGTATAACTACAATACACTGGTATAATCAAATACATAAAAGAGAGCGCGCGGTTATGCGACGCTGATGAAGCTTAACCATACTTATCGTATATGACTGTGTTGTAATTTTCTTAAGCAACTTTTTTGTTAAGAGAGGAAAGTGACGAATCGCAGAGTACTATTATATATTATTCCAAGAGTTTCATATTCTCTCGTTTGACACTCTACTTATACTGCCTTATCACACATTTTGCCGGCGTATGAATGCACAACAGTTACTTGGACTTTGCAAATACAAACAGACAAATTAGATAAGACATGTTGCCTGACTGGCTTGTTGTGTACAGCGCGAATCGAATGTCAACAAGCGGAGTGCGCAATGTACCCCACTTCCGTATGACCGGTAACGACTGTCCAACTGCTGAAGCCAATATAGAGACGATCTCCACAAAAAATAACAACAAAATCTTATATACTTAACTAAGCGGGCTGAAGATAATGAATGACTGACGACTACACACATGAAAAGGGGTTAAATTTGAAATATGTAAAAAATGTCAAAAAAAAAGTGCAAAAACAAAAAAACTCAATACGATAAATACCATTTATGCGCAGTATGTGAGCTCAACTTGCTCAAGAATTTTGCATATTTTAACTGACATTCTGCAGCGTAGTAGAAATTAGCTGCTAGCTGTTTATAGGCAAATGTGGGATAGTTGCAACGCCAACAGTTGCACAGTTAACTCTAGGCGTTAAATGCATCTGCTATTAGCACTAATGCGGGCGTCAAAGATCTTTAGCAATACCAATATCACTACCGCCAAGTGTTACTCAGTCTCCTCCTCTTCCTATACCCACTTCTTGAATATGTCTACAATAGAGAAGCAACTGTTTTACACTGACTTCAGTCAGCGAGTTGCGAGCTCAGTTGTTGATGTGTGTGTCCGCGCAAAAGACGTGTGCAAATATATAACTATTAATTGGGTATTCTTTAAAAATCAAATTTGTAGAAGTAATGTGTGGAAACAAAAGAAATTCGTGACGTATCGAAAGCTTGAATGCTGATTTATAGTGATTCATGAATAATAAGAAAATATGATTTAAAAAAATTAATTAAATATATACATACATGTTAATTATGCAATAAATTCAACAACTACATACAAAACAAAAATTTCTTGCAAACACAAAAACTCCAGAGAAAAAAATATTGAACAAATGCATTTAAAAACACCAATGGCGGATGTGTTGCTCATTGATGATCTTCTCGGCGATTTGCGTGTACTAAAAAGCAGTTGTGTTAGTATTATCGCTAATTAAAAAACATAAAAAAAACTAAAAGATATTAATAAAATAAATTTAATAATTTCACGTTTGACATATGCCCTGTACGGCGTGCCAAACCGCCTTTAATTGCCATGCAAGCGCGTTCAAAGCTCACATATGTACATAAGTATATTTGCAAAATATTATTTAAAAAAATATAATAAAATAGATTTCATTGTTTATTTACTTTGTTTTTGTTTTGCTTTTAATTTTGTTTGCTTTTACTCACATTACTCACATTACTCACTCCCGTTCTTTCCTTTTACAGTTGGAACTGCTGCAACGTCAAGTCACCGATTTGGCTGACACACAGAATATCGCTGAGGATCGCACGACGCGCACAAAGACCGAATATGCTGTGCTGCAGACACGCTATCATATGCTCGAGGAGCAATATCGGGAGGTGAGTGAACACATTTCATCTTTTCTCGAGGAAAAGTAAGAAACAAGGCGTTCTAATAGTATGTGACAGTTGAAGTAAAGTTTGAGTATAGTTTGTTCACAACGTTAATTATACTCTTGTAATAGACCTGTTACTCATTTCCACTTTCTGGTATACAATTTTTTGTTTTTGATAGGCATTTATCGCATATCTTCAGTTCAGGAATACCGTGCGCACTTTTCTCGCATCATTTATTGATCTTGGGAGCATCAACGGTTACTAATAATTCCCCATGACTTTAAAAAAAAAGAGCAGCTATAGTGGCTTAGCCAAATAATAAATAAAATTTTACTTAGTCGGAAATTCCGGGGCCTCACAATAGTTCACGGTTAAAAATTTAGTATAGGAACATCTAATGATCAGCAACATAAATATCTGTTTTCGCATCAGTTCATCATTGTTTGATTAAGATAAAAGCTTAGTCTAGACGAAATCTAACATTGTAGACTTTCAGCGAGTAATTTCAATTCTCCGAGCTTTCTTCTAACCTAAAAGGTCTCGTATAAAAGCCTATCAGTTGCTCTGAGGTGGTCTAAGTCCTGTAAGACCCTTCGTTTATTAAACATGCTCTATGTATATATACACCTACAAGTAGAATTAGGTTAGAAAATTGGGTACACAATATGTTTTATGTAGCACGAAATTAAGAGGATTGGATGTCCTTTCTTCCTTGAAACTTGTTTAGTGGACGAATCGCCTGAAAGTCCGATTGTGATATTCAATTTAATATTATTTCTTCATCTTTTCAATACCAATTTGTAAACATCTATATTTTTCTCTTTTCTCTCAGTCCGAGTTGCGCGCCGAAGAGCGTCTGGCCGAAGAACAAAAACGCTATCGTGAATTGCTGGCACGTGTCGAGCGCGAAGCGGCGCTACAAAATGAAAATTGCCAAATCAAGATAAAAACTATTGAATTGGAAGCGAACACATTACGCGAAGATGCACAACGCCTGCGTGTGCTCTGCGATAAACAGGCTAATGATTTGCATCGCACCGAGGAGAAATATGAATTGGCGCGCGATCAAATAGTGGCACTGCAACAGGATCTCGATGAGGCGGTGCAGCGCGAACGCAAATACGAAGACGATAAGAAGGCGGCCGAAGAACTAATGTTGGAGTTGAGTAAAGAATTGGAACGTTTGCGCGCCGAAACGGGGCCAGCGCTGCCAACCACCTCGCCGGAGACAATAAGACTGGAAGAGCTGCATCAGGAACTGGAGGAGATGCGGCAAAAGAACAAAGGTAATACTTAATTTATTATTAAGGTGATTTTATTAATATAATAATTTAATTTAGCTTTGGAGGAGCAAAATGAAGAGCTGCAGGCGCAAGTGCTCACGCGCGGCGTAGAAGAGGGCCGCAATCTGCTGAACGGCACACTGAATAGCTTAGCGCAAGAGCTGGAGGAAATGTCACAAGCACAGGTGGGTGGCGCATGTGATTTTTTTTATAATTAGCGCTTAGAAAATAATTATTTTATACACTGTTTTGGGACAGGCTATGAGCTTTTATAGCCAACAAGCTTTCGCTCTAACACCGTCGCTCATGCTTACGCGCACACAGCTTACAACAAACATACACTCTGGTATATAATGAAAGCTTAACGTACACATAAACACCTGCACACACACTGCTGCATTGCTTTAGCATTAGTTTTACAGAGCTTGTGCTTTAAGTAACGAGTTTGCAGCTTTTTTTAGAAAAAAAATTTACGAAGAAATCATAATAGGTTTAGTTATAATTATTATTTTTGATTTTTATATAATTGTTTTTTTTGTTTTTTATACTATCACTTGGCTAAGCTTAAACGCTTCGCCTTATTATTTATTATATATTTATTTTTTATAAATTTATATAAATTTTTTTTTAATTTTCAGTCGAGGTTTTGTTTTTTATAGTTTTGTCTTGTCACTCGTTTATTTATATTTCCTACTTTGTCTCGTGTACGCACTCATACGCATATTCGTATACACCCCGTTATATCGCTCACTTTATCTATGTATATGTATATGTTGTTTATTATTTTGTATTCTCCTTTCTTTTATTTATTTTTTTATTACAGGATTCTGTGGATTCAGCCACATTAGCATCTCTAAGTCAGGTAATAAACAACAAAAAGACAAAGTGTTTAACTCAAAGAAGTGCAAATAATTTATGTTGGATTGATATAACATTGGTGTGGTAATGGTGAATGGTGAAAGCTTTAGAGAAAATTAACTGCTTTAATAATAATCATGACACTATTGTTCGGATAACTGTTATTTAAAGAGAAGAAGTAAAAAACTGTTCTGTTAGAAATAGTTAAAAGTATTTGCCATGCTATGAAAGCTCGCAGAAAGCTCTGGAGGTCAGTCTTTTGCTAAAGAGAGTGAAAATATAATATTATAAAATAGAATAAAGAAAATATTAATTGCTAATTTAAGGAGTATAAAAATTAGAAAAAAATTTCGAAAAAGTTTTCCAAAACCACAAATAAGGAAAATAATAATTTGAAAAAGTTTAAGACAAACAACAGCTTTTAAAAAAAGTGTATAAAGATTTCATTGAGGTTAAAAAGAAACGTGTCTATAACATATAGCAGCAAACGTTAAAAAAGTAGTTAGTAAATGGTAAACTGGGTGGACTGTCTTATATAGAAAAACATCTGAAGTCTATCAAAAAGCATTTAAGGTGATTTATTTCGAAATCAGTTGCTTCTCCTAGATGACTAGAAGAGTGAGAGTACTGAAAACAGAGCAGCCAGACATAAACTATACTGATCGTAACGTTTTCTCGGTAACCATGTTAGCAAGCTAAACTGCTGAAGTCTAGATCAGAAAAAACACACTTGATCGTTGAAAACTGATCTCGTTATTAGCGTATAAGTCATTTTGGTGTGAATTTCGAATATCTGATATAATTTTAGACAGAAATTTTCGTGTGGAGATGCTGAAAGACTGAATGCAAATAATGCATTAATTAAACATGCGTTCATGATCAATATTAAGCAAAAATCGGCACAAAGGTCTTGGAAAATTGTGTAGTCAGAAGTCAGAAAATGCTACTTCATCAGCTCGGTCAATGAAATTACACTGACCGAATCGGATATATTTCTTGCTTGTTTTTTACTATAAATATTGAGAAAAATTTTATAAAAAGTTATTTTGAAAATAAAAAACGCAAGAAGAAACATCGCATTCCCTGAACTTCGTCAGAATGGCTTGAAGGAACAAAAACGATAGTATTTTGTGTAAATAATTAAACAAAATAATAATAAAAAAGAATAGAGTTTCGCCAGAATACCAATTAAATTTATAACAAAAAGTATTATCTAATTATTATTACTAATTATTTTACTTACTTTAAGTTTTATAAACATTAATTAGTCATTTATTCATTATGGGTATTCACAATACATATATTATTATCAACACATACATACAGCATACTTTGTTCATATTATATAATATGCGGTCATAAATACATGGAACTTGGGGTTGTGGACACTATGTGAACTAATTTTATATTTTAAAATATTTTCGGTAGAGCTTTGTTCAAATAACTGTAACTCTTTTATAGAATAACGAGCGTAAAACACGGACGATATATTATATATTGAGATTTTATTTAAAAGGCATCACATTTACGAATCCCTTGATATCTCTTGAAAACGTGAAGAAAACTCTATGAATTTGAGAAAAATCTAATGGCATTGTTGATATTTCATAATTTGCGTAGACGTTCAAAAGAAATTTTTTTTTTTTTAAACTTAAATCTTGTTTAGTCAAATAATTTCCAAGGAATTGAGTCCAAAAACTTGAATTTGCTTAACTTCAGTGCCTGTTTTGTGATTAATTTATGAAAATGGCAATTATACTACTTTCTTTGGTTTTGAACCCCACCTTAAGTCTTAGAAATATATGTATATAAAAAAATATTCTTTACTTTCAAAAACTTCTCTACCCCTATCGGCTTAGGATTTCTGAACTAATGTGTTAACATAAATATATAGAATTAATACCTTATACTCTAAAAAAACATAATTAATTAAATCTAATTTTTATCTTCTCATTTACAGTTGCAACAAGCCTTTCAAGAGAAGGAAGATGAGAATACCCGCCTGAAGCATTATATCGATACGATACTATTGAACATCGTAGAGAATTATCCGCAACTATTGGAAGTCAAGCCGATTGCGAAATAAAGTGCATTTAAAGAGGCAGCACAGCGAAAGAAGAAACACTCTGAAACTGGAAGACTTGAGAAAAAGAGAAAACTAATTAATAAGAGTGACAAGTTTTGAAGCAAGAGCACAGTAATATGTGTGTAATTAATCATGCGTGTAATTAATTTTTATTAAAAAATAAAATCAAATCAATACCGACAACGCTAGTTATGAATTTGAGACATAATTTATACGCGTTTCTTCCAGACAACTAAATATTGAACTGGCTTTTAGAGAAGATCCAGCTACATGTGACCGCTTTGTGTAAAAATGTCTTTTGTTTTTTGGTAAAAATTTGATTGCAGTTACATCTTGTGTGCTATTGGCTAATGGATTAATTACACTAAATTACTTTTGACATTAAAATTATGTAAATTGAGCTTCGAGAACGGTGTAACTGCAAGTTGGTCCTATGAGTTGTAGATTTCTTCCTAAAACTGCGCGCGGAACTTATTTTTTTGTTTTTCTAATCATAAATATTTACATACATAAAATACTATAAAAATACCGGAGTCACCGGAAACTGATGAAGAACAAATAGAGAAAATTTAACTATAAATAAATACTACTATTATATATAAATACAGTAAAACAACAACAGTTTAGTTTGTAATTAATAATAATAACAATAAAACTAAAATGAACTAAACAAAATCTTTAAAGATAGACCTTAAATTGTTAAATTGTGTAACTAAAATAGAATTTAACAAGCTAATTACTATGGAACCCTATATGTAACTATACCTATATACCGATATTCTTGCTTACAAGCATGAAGTATAAGAAAATATGCCAAGATTGAAGTAATAGATAACTAAAATGTCCAACAAAAATTTATAATTTTATAAAAAAAATTTTAAAAAAAATTATTTAAAAAAAAATATATAAATAAAAATAAGCAAATAATATATCTTAAAGATAAAAGAGAATAAAATAAATACAGCTGAAATTAAATACAAAATTTTGATAATTTAAATAATACAAAAAACAGTGGAATATTATATCCTAATTAAAGATAATCAAATTAATAAAAAAGTAAAAAAATTAAATATCAACATGAAATGAAACGAATCAATTTAAAAGTTACAAATTTTTTGTAAAAATTTAAATAAATAAAAACTAAATAAAACTAAAATTAACTCATTTAAAAAATAAATTGAAATAAATGAAATATGATAAAAACAAACAAAGTAAAATTTACCGAAATAAAATAAAAAATATTGTAAAATAAATAAAAACAATTAATAAAATAAAATTTAAATTTAAAAATATATATATTAATTTAACATAAAAGCAAAAGAAAATAAAAAAACAAAATTTTACAAAAATAATATATAATGAAATTAAAATTTAATAAATTTAAAAAATTTAAATCTATAAAAAATAAAATAAATTTAATGATGAAAGTAAAAAAAGATTTAAATTTACGGGAAAAAAATATTTAAAAAATTAATAAAAATAATTAATAAAACTACAATAAATTTAAACAAGTAAATTTTAATGAATTAAAAACCTTAAAATGAATGTATGATAAAAAAAAAGAAATTAAAAACTTGCGAAATAAAAATATATTATGAAATAAATAACAATATTTAAAAAATATAATACCATGAAATAAAACAAAATTAAATTAAATATTACATTGAAATAAAATTTTATATTAAAGTTAAAGAAAAAAAGAAAAAATTATAAATAAAATTAAAGTAATACGTAATACATAAAAGTATGTTTTTTTATAAAGTAATTAAACAAAAAACTTATAATAAATGCATATTTAACCATATACACGCATTATTAATTCTATAAAAATAAAATATTTACATAAAAATATTTGAAACAAATTGTTGATATATTTTTAAGTGTAATACTTTTAAGCAAAATATTTGTTAAGCGTAAAATCTTGCTTTGAAAATGTTAAAATCTGTGTGAATGAGTGTGTAGCTGATAATAAATAATAATAATAAAGATGTGGATCGTTATATAAAGTGGTACATTAAAAAATGTTTTTTTATTACATACTTACATTGTAAAATAATTAAAAAGTAATAATTTGTGCATCAAAAGCTTTTCAAAATTAATTAATTAAAAAAAAAATTAACGAAAATTAATTTATTTTTTATAAACGAAAATACGAGGAAAATGAATAAAAATGGATTTAAAAGTATTTACAATTAGTTTTATTGTGTAAAGTGTGTAAAACTTTTAAACCAATATTTGAGTTTGAAATATTTAGTGTCTAAAAATAAAAATTTAACAAAATATTATTGGCTACAAATACAAATTAAGTAAAAAACGCATGCAATTGTTTTTGTGACACTGTTAAATTAATTAAAATAAGGTTAAGAACTGTTAGTATTTGCAATTTTAGATTACATACTTAAAATATAAACTAAAATGTGTGGAAATATATAGAGCACACAAGTGAATTAGTAACTTAAGCATATGTATGTAAATATTTTTAAACAATAAGTATGTATGTTAAAGTAGCGCTTTACATTGCAAAGCGTCGTTAATATAATATGAGAAAGCTGGAAGAAACAAAATGAATAAATTTGCGTTGCTTAAGAATGGACAATCGCGCATAAGAAATAAAAAATATTAAAAAATCTAGAGTTATCATTATATATGGCAAAAATAACAAAAATTAATAAATTAATTAATTACATAATAATAAAAACATTATAATAACATAAATAATGGAAAATAAAAATTATTACAATATTAAGTATTTAAAGCAACTTTAAACAAATAAATATAATATAAATATGCAGTAAAATATATAGCTAACCAACCGCATACAATAAGCATATTTAGTAAAGTAATAATAATACTAAAAGAATTAATATTACAATACAAAAAAGTAACTAGCTACTTAAAACATTTAATAAAAAAAAAACAATAAACAATAAAATAACAGTCAAACAAAATACAAATATGAATACTGCATATTTTTGATTAACAAATAATGGAAGTTATTGTTAAGAATCTGAAAATCACTCATAAAAGCAGACAAATAAATTCGCTTAAAATAAATATTATAAAAATAGTACAAAAACAAAATTTTTTTTTTTCAAAAATGCGTAAAAAATCAAAAACTAAATTCAAGAAAGCAAAGAAATTACACTTAGAAATATAAACTTCCTCTTTATGTTTACAAAATAATTTAAAAAAAATTCAAAACTATTAACACAAAATTATATACATATGTTGAAAATAATGTTAAATAATATCCAGCTATGTATTTATGTTTAAGTAACTAATAAAAAACATCGCTAATATTTGTAAAAAAGAAATTAGCTTTAACATTTTTTAAATAAAAAAAAGAAACAATAAAAAATATACATAAAAATATTTATAAAATAAAATTTTTTATTGGCATTTTAGTTTTGGTAGCATGTTAGACATTTTACATCGCGTTTGAAGTATTTTAGCAAAATATAGTATTAGGGTGGATAAAAAAAAAACGATTTTTTTTCGCTTTGTACACCAAAAAATTTATTGATAGACGCCTCTCAGAAAGGCTTAATTGTTATGGGAGGTCCTCCTTCTATCGAGTTTCTATTCTATTCTTATTATCATATAGGAAGAGTGCAAATCGCTTCCAACTTTTTGAAAAAATATCACACACCCTATTAAATATTATATAAAATATATAATATGATATATAGACTAGAGTAGACAACAAAATTGATTGAAAAACAAGAAAAAAACAGCTTGAATTTATAAAATGCTAAGCCTTAATTAACTTATTAAGTCTCGAGCTGCCTTCAGAAAATTTTCTTAGCTCCCAGTGCAAGTCAAAAATTATATAAAAAATTTATTTTAAGATATCAAAATATCTAGAGCAACATTGAGCAGAGATTATATGATTTATTCGACATAGGTGAATAATGATCTTGAACCGTCTGAACGGAATTTCAGGATTATATAAAAAATTTTCTTAAATTATTAGTGTAAAGGTTAATGTTTGAGAAAGCACAGATCGTTAGCAATCATTAAAATAACTTTTTCTTAAAATGGATATTTCAGGGTGAAGCGAAAAGGTTTACATTGTCAAATCGTTGATAGACATCTCAAAGACCGCTGATAGGGTAATTACTAAAATTACTGCGTATAAGACCGATTTTAGTAAGGACTGTGAATTGAGGTTCGCCATCTTGCAGCAACCTAAACTCATACTAGTCCATATGACGGAAATACCGCCTGCAGCAACATTATCTTAGTGTATGCTTTACAGAGCTTACTTTTCGGTACATTATTATCATTGAAGTATACGCGAAGCCGCTGTAAATTCTAAGTCTAAACGCAGCTCCGTCGACAATCTTGAATAACAAAAAAAAACCTATTTCAAGTAGAAATTATTTTTCGGGCTATAGTTATTCAATTTTATATATATTAATTTTTCTATAGAGATTCACTCTGGAATCATCGATATCTGGAAACATTTTTGAAAGGATTTCACAGAAGTTGATTGAAAACAAAAAAATATAGGCGTGTTTCGTTGCTATCAGAAATCAAAAAGTAAAGAGTTCATATGTCATTTAAGACAAAAACAAAATACGTTAGCTTCGGCCGAAGCTAGAATACCTTTCACAAATAAAAAATTTGCTCACACAAAAACATGAATTTGATCGGTCAGTTTGTATGGCAGCTCTATGCTATTGTGGTTCGATCTGAACAATTTCTTCGTAGATTGCAGCAATGCTTTGGATAATAATCCATTCCAGATGAAGATAACTCGTCAATTAAAAAGTTTTTCATACAAAAACTTCATTTTCATCGTTCTGTTTGTATGACAGCTATATGCTACAGTCGGCCGATATTGGCGGTTCCAACAGATTAGCAGTTTCTGGGGGAGAAAAGGACGTGTACAAAGTTTCAGATCGATATCTTTAAATTGAGAGACTAGTTCGCGTATATACAGACAGACAGACAGACATACATAACTAAAATGACTCAGCTCGTCACGCTGATAATTTATATTTTGTAGAGTCTCCCACGTATCCTTCTGGTTGTTACAAACTTTGTGGCAAACTTAGTGTATGGTGCTCTGTTCAGGGTATATGTATATAAATATTAAATTAAACAAAGCAAAGCAATTTTGTGGCGTTTAAGAAACGATTTGAATAAACAAATAAATTAAGTGCCGTGATAATCTTCCATAATATTGTATTTAAAGCGTGGATCTGTACATACCCGTTTAAAAATACACACGCCAAAAGATTAAATGTATGCATATAACAGTAGTACCAAGATAAGCCAATCAATTGACGTGCACGAACAACAAAAACAAAATAACTGCTAATCTGAAATATCTGCCGAAGTGAGGGTGTGGTAAGAACCACATTAAGTCTTGATGTATCGAAGATGAGTAACAAATTGGGTTTCGTACAATAATACAGCAGATAAATTAATCACTAATCGAGACAATAATCAAACATATATCTTCTTAAGTTTCTCAAATTTCAACTCACAATCTTTTATAAAAAGGCGGTCCCTCACAGGCTGAGAAACATAACTGAATCAAACATTTAACAAACAACATGAAGTTTCTTGTACTTTTCGCTGCATGTAAGTCTATTTTATTAAAAGATATTACAGTAAGATGTCTAACAATACAATTTTCTTATAGCTCTCCTTTGCGTTCAAGCCTATAATATTCCATACGGCTTCTATGATGATTCATCCGAATCCAGTGAGGAGGAGTACAGTGTGCTTGTCACGGCTAATAATCAACCACCATTGAGCTTACCGGGTGTGGGCATCTATAATCAACCGATTTTGCAGGCGGTCAAAGTGAAAGTGCCACGCTATCTTAGTCCGGAAATCAAACAGCAAATTATCACTCAGACCATAGCTGCACGCGGCTTGACTCTGCAGGATTTTGCTGCTGCACCATCACTCCAGGGAGGCTTAAATAATGTCGCACCGACTTCCGGTTTGTTCGTACGTCAACAGCGACAGGTTCCGGCTGCGGCTGCTGTGAATAAGGGTGTCTCGCTGGAAACTGGCCCCGTCACTGACAAGGTCGTATTAACTGATGAAGATAAAGGGACGTTGCTGACACCAGTAAGACTATCGGCTTCGGTTGTACCAGAGTTGCCAATGGTCCCTGCTGTACCAATGATATTGTGAGCTTTCACAACCTGTTAGATCTAAGTCAACATAAGCCTTCTTATGAACCCGAATAAAAGTATTGTGTTTTCTAAAAATTTAGTAATAAAATGCCTTTTCCAATAAAAAATTACATTTTCCTTTAAAGTAAAAATTCTTTGTTTCAATATCTTTATTTTTACCTATTTTGTTCTCGCGCCATTTCAGGTTCTTTGGTCAACGTCATCGTAGCTTGCTTAAGAGCTAGAGAAATGATGGTGAATCGCTTAAGTTAATAGCCAAAAATTTTTCCATCTTTCTATTAAAATTCCCAATCTAGCTCTAATTGAGGAACCATTTACTGAAAGCGTAGTCAAAGGAACCTTTCCTTATTAAGTAGAGGACTTCACAAGAACGGCCTTCTTTGTCTGTGACAGGTTTGCTTATTTTATTTAGCTTAGACTACAATCTGTCAGGTGTAACAGCTTCAATATAACTCAAATGAGATGTTTTGGAGACAGAAAAGATATCTTGAGTAGCTATGAGAAGGAGCCCTCATCCGAAGGTCCAGAATGCTATCCGCTACCGTAAAAAAAAATAACAGCGCCTAGAGTTCCTGTATAGAGATGTGTAGAGGGTTGGCAGCTTCGGTCCGACTTATAAGCTTTGAGCAACCACAAAAACGGATTTACTTCCTATCAAGGTGATTCAGAAACTTTTGGTTATTAGTTTTCACTGCAGGATCCTGTAGTACTTGTTTACTTGGCTTATTACCTTTTTATTCTAGAAAAGGTCCTTGGATGACTTCTTTATCTTAGGACTGCAAACTCTAGGCGAAATGACAGGAAATCATCCTTCAGTTATAGAGAACTCTCATACTCAATCTCCACTGAGCTTACTCTACTATATGTTACTACCTTGAAATAAACATATTTGTGAGCAGGTATTTCTCCGAATTGTCAAAAGTAAATCCTCGCATTCACTGATCGCAAAAAAGTGTAGCAGATATAGGAAAAATCAGCGAAAAAGGAAGGATAGCTCTAAGACCATCCAAAAACAAGAAAAACTGTTCACTCCAGCTGCAACGAGGCTATAACTCTCTAACACGAGTATTTTTTATAGCATAAAATGGTAGTCCAGTCTGACATACTAACTGATTAAATCGACACAACTTGTCAACTTGTCACGCTGATCATTTATATATACAATTTATAGGATTTCCGGCGATTCTGGGTGTTACAATCTTCGTGGTAAACTTAATACACCCTGCTCAGGGAGAAACTCAAAACTTTTCTTAAAATCAACGAGTTGTTAAGTGATGTTTATTTGGGTCTTATTGGTGATAAGTTTATACTTATTGATGACTTAAGTGTGGTCGCTTGCAGTCAAGCCGCATTTGAGCTCCCCTGTCAACCTACCGGCCAATATAAAATAAAAGTGAATTCATTAAAAAAAATTATTAAGCTAAGAAAAAATTACGCAATTAATCGGAAATTACTTAAAATTATATGTATTGCAAACTTATATGTATATAGGTATAAGTACAACCAGAGGTAAGTATTCAAAAAACAATAATAAATCAAATTCAAATGAATCCAGACACACGAATGCACAATGAGGAGATTCAGACGATTCGATTAACCCAATAAATAAACATTTTGTAAAGAGAGTGTTCGGAGAAGACTTAAGACACTATTATGTATTGAGATTTATTTTTGTGAGAAAGAGAGATACCGATAACTTTACATGCGCGAATTAAGAACTGGTGATATAGTATTAATAAGTCACACAAAATAATGTTGCGGCCGTAAAGGGCGGCTAATTGCAGCCGACGAGTCATATTGAAGACCAGTTTCTTTCAAATTAAAACAATGGTCAATCAGTATTATTTTTAACTCAGTCCGGCACTTAGGGTGTGTCCAATTTGTAACGACGGCCATATAAAAGCACTTACATTCAGGATCAGAGAGACATTTATGGGCAAAGTTTTAACATAACAACATGAAGTACCTAGTGATTTTTGCCGCAGGTGAGCAAAAATACCGCTTACAACCACTTCATACTCAATTTAATATTAATATTATTTTGTCAAATTCCAAACCACAGCTTTCGTATGCGTACAAGCTGTAAAATTACCGCAGATTACCTTAACGGGTTCGCTGGAGTCCAGTGAGGAGGAGTACAGTATTCTATTGCCCGCTACTGGTCAAACTCCGCTCAACTTGCCGGGTGTTGGTGTCATCAATCAGCCAGTGCTGCAAGCGGTCAAGGTGAAAGTGCCACGCTACGTCAGTCCTGAAATCAAGCAGCAAATTATCGCTCAAACACTGGCAGCAAGAGGCATAGACTTGCAAAGCTTAGGCGCACAAGCAAAGCCTGTGGATGCGGTGCCTCGTCAACAACGACAATTGGCTGCTAAAGGCTCAACAGCTGGTAGTGGTGTGGCCGGTGTTGATACTCTAACCGTATCTGTTAATCCCGTCGAAACTGGCAAAGAAACAACGGTACCAATTACGTCAGAGGTACCCTCCGTGGTACCAATTGATAGAGAGGCGCTTCCAAAGGTATCAACGCTTCCAGTAGTGCCAGTGGTTTCAGAGCTACCAAAGCTCTCAACTGTTCCAGTGGTGCCAGAAACAGTCAGCGTAGCCGAGGCACCCGTCGTGGTTCCTATACCAGTTTCGAAACAATAAATCATGATTTTTGGTTTTTTCTTCACATTTATTATACAAAATTAAAAAACTTAAATTTGAGCAAACAGCGATAACATATTTAAAAATCCTTTGTAAAATTATTTTGAAAAATAAAGCGTATTAAATTGTATTAAAGTTGTCAGATATATTATATATTCGGAAATGTTTCAATCTGCCGGGCGTGATATTACAAAACATTGCGAAAGAGTATGCTGCAAGAATCTTGAATAAAATGCTCAAACTCACTTCAAACTAATTAAATAAAAATGATCTGAAAGAATCCGCGATCCCACATTAACAATATTCACTGACAGCTGCTGTTCCATTCTACAATGGATCCAAGACCGTTTTTTTTATAACATCCAGTTCAGTTCCATAGCTTATCCACACGACAGATATATCAAACAAATATTTTGTACATATAAAAGAAGGTCGTCGCCATTAACTAAATGTATCTCGGCAACTCTATATATTCCATCTGTTCGATATTAATCTGTCCTACAAAATACTAAAGTTGGAGGAACTGTATGAACCGCATTTATCTTAGCAATAGGCATGTACTAAATTAGTTTGGGGTTCCACCTTTTGCATATTAAATGAAGTCCAGCCTTATGGTACTTAAACCTTCATGTCTACCAATGATAATACTGCCGCGGTAGTCCAGTCCTCTTTGTGGAATGTACGTGTATCCTTAGTTCTTTAGACCCTGAACAGGGTAAATTAAGTTTCCCACGAAGTTTCTAACATCCACAAGGAAACGTCGCAGATCCTATAATGTATTTCTATAAATGATCAGCATGATGAGCTGAGTCGATTTAGCAATGTTCGTCTGTATATACTCGAACTTGTCCCTCAGTTTTTGAGATTCCGATTTGGAATGTTGCACACGTCCTTTTCTTCCACATTTTTCGAAACTGCTGATATCGGACCACTATAAAATCTAGCTGTCATACAAACTGATCTATAAAAGGCTAGTCCTTGTAAAAAAAACCTTTGTATTTGACGAGATATCTTTACGAGATTTGGCATGAATTATTGTCTAAGGCAACGCAAGGATATCTGCAGAAACTTTCCTGCTGCCCTATAAAGTTACCGATCAAAATCAAGTTCTTGTATGGAATCTGTTGCATGTTTTAAGGGTATTAAAGCTTCGGTGCAGCTGAAATGAACGTTTTTAGTTTTGTTTCAGTAATTTTACACGTTGTCAAAGCTACTTTCATGGACTCGTAAGAACCGTGCATTTAGGACAGGATAAAGGCTCAGCAAACTTAATCTAGCGAGTATATTGGTGGATGTAGTACCTTTTATATAATTTTGTTGGTCAACAATTTAATCGCATTCGCTTTGAGCGTCATACATAACTCAACCAATCAATAATTTGTTGCCCTTTGGAATGGGAACTTACAAACCTCACTACAATATAAGAATAAAGAGCATGGTTAAAAAGTTTGCTTCGTTTAATTTTTCTACGTCTCGGTTTGTTTTGGCACATCATTCGCTAGATTTTCGAGTAGTTTTCGTCGATTTATTTATACATTTAATATTTTAGCACTCCTTACAGCAATTCCGACTTAACTTAATTCAAATATTTCCATGACAAATAAATGTGCGATCTTGCGAACTTTCTCGTAAATTATTGACATATTGGAAAGTAAAACAGCATAATAAACTACAATCAGTTCTTAACGCCGAATGGTGTCCAAAAATACAGGTAAGGATCCACAAGTAAAAATAAACTCGAGAGACCGGCAGTAGAATATTTTGCCGTGGCGACAGCTTATACATTTTTGTAAGAGGAAAGGGTTAAATAATGAGACAAACAAAAAAAAAAGTCAACATTGGTTGCACCTAAGCTATAATACCCTTCACAAATACAAAATATTTCTTATAAGAACTTTGATCGGTCTGTTGTTTGGCAGCTATAAGCTATAGTGACTAGATCTGAATAATTTCTTCGGAGATTGCTTAGACAATAACCCATGCCAAATATGATGATTCAGATCGTGCAGCTATAAGCTATAGTGGTCCGATATCGGCTACACCGATAAATTAGCAGCTTCTTGATCAGAAAAGGAAAGGTGTAAAATTTCAGATCGATATCTCAAAAACTGAGGGACTAGTTCGTATATACAATACGGACAGACCGACGGACGGACAGACATACGTATATTGCTAAATTGACTTAGCTTGCTAAGCTGCTCATTTATATATGACGCTTGCTTTCGGGTGTTACAAACTTCATGGCATAATATACCCTGTTCAGGGCATAAAAATGGAAATTTAAAATTCAAACAAAGCAAACACGCACATTTTTTAATACAAGTACATATGTTTGTGTGTGTGTGTGAATGAATAAATTTATTCCGGCAGGATAACGAAACGAGTATATAAATTATGAGAGCGAATACAAATTTCGACGAAATACATGTGTGTGAGTAACGCTTATGACGTCGTGTTCAAATGCTGTCTGATGCATACACCTATATGTTTAAATTTATGAGTAAATACACTAAATGTGTTAACCACAAAAGGGGCTAAAAATAAGTAACTCGCTCAGTAGAAAGAATTAGCTGACTCAGCAAACGGTTGTAAAATTTAAATTCTATATAAAACCCAGAATTTGAAGCGAGACCGAGCATTGAGGAAGTGTACGTGCTGATGAAAAGAACATGAAGTTGCTAGTGATATTTGCCGCAGGTCTGTTACAGGTCACAAGTGAAAACATGTGAAAAATAATAAAATTTTTTACTTTCTTTCTTTTTATGCCTGACTTTGTAGCGTTGCTTGGCGTGCAAGCAGTACGAGTGCCGTATATAGTCACCGATGCCGATGGAGAGAAATATCAAATACTTTTGCCACAAAATCGCCAAGGACCCGTGTATAATCGCCCCGCATTTGAATACAAACCCAATGATTACGAAGTTTATTTATCGCCGTTAGATCATGAGGAAGTGAATTTACAACGTGGCGTAGATTTGGGCAGCAGACGTTCCGTCTACGATTACAGCGCTGAAGACTATCACTGGCCGCCATATAGGCAAGATGTGGTTAGTGCAGCACGACGCCGCGCCGATTCTGCGAAGCAATCGGACTCTGATTCCAGTGATGAAGAAGATCAAAGTAAACAGGAAGGACGTGACAATGCAGGCAGTGAACAACAATATGGTTCGGGTTCGAAGGAAAATGAAACTGATGATGATGAATACAAATTGATTTTGCCGCATGCGTTGCAAGGGCAAGTGCATGTGCCGGGCCTAGGGTTGATCAATCCTTCTGCCGTTAAGAAGGTTAAGGTTAAAGTGCCACATTACGCAGATGCCTTCCTAAGACAACAAATAATTGAGCAATACTTGGCTGCGCAGGGTTTGAATCCACAAGGTTTCGATGTGAGAGGTTTAATTGCACGCGGCTTAGATGCAGAAGCGTCGCGTGAACGTGGTTGGGATTTACAATACTCATATAATCAACAGCCGAAAGCCAGAAAGTTTTCACGTCCAATTAATTTTCAACAACTGATGTATGTTACAGTGCCGGAACGTAAGCGACGTCAAGCTGTAGAAGTAAGCACCACAACTAATCCAATCAAAACCACAACAGTACCTGATGTAATCGAGACAAATACAGATGCTGAAGCAACCACACTAACCGAATTAGCGGAGGGTGTGACCGTAACTACGGACACACCGCTGGCAGTTATGACAACCGCACCAAATGCAGTACCTTCAGTCGTAACGCCGTTCATTTCCGTAACTACCAGCAAACCTTTCGAACTATCTTCACCCGAGCCTGAACCAATTATACCACTCATCAGTTTTGGTTCGATATTACCAGCTGAGGTCTCGCATGTACCGTTTGCATCGCGTATACCCCGCAGTCCAACAGCAGGCACTGGTAGCACTGCTGATCCTGTATTGGACGAAATTTTGTCGCGCAATAAACCTAAAGTAAAGGGTATGGCACAATATCTAATCGCAACAACGCTTTCAACGGTTTTAGCGCATTCCGATGAGCGTGGTCCAAATACCTTCGACTTGTCACATACGCGTGAAATGCGTGCTGTGAACGTAGCGCCTGTAACACCCGCCGTAACGGAGGTAAATGCTGTCGTTGAGGAAATGAGACCAGAAACAACGGAAGTCAATTGCGATATACAGTGCACCAAATTAGATTTGAACCCTGTTTGCGCATTTAATGGCGAATGTTATCACGAATTCGCAAATCAATGTGCGATGGAGACGTTCATATGTAAGCGTCCGGATTTGGGTTTCAAGGCAACGCCGAGAGAGCGTTGTGTTATGCATTGGCTCAAGCGTTGCAACTCGCAAGAATTGAAGATTGAATAGTGGTTATGCTGAGAAATTGGTTAGATGCTGCCGGAAGAAATCTTTTTTACATACATTCTTATAAATATACATAAATAAATTTTCGAGCAAAAAATGTTTAGATCAAATTCATTATGTAAATAGCAAAATATCGATGATTAAAATTTCGAAAATTTAAACTTACTTATCTTTACTTTGTGGGTAGATCATTTTTTGAGGCGTAAGAAAAAAAGTTAATGGAAAACACCTTTATTGTACCGAGCTCAACTTATTATACAACAAAATATTCATTGGAGTTTCTTCCAAGTAGAGCCTGGTAAGTCAATCTTGTTTGTCGGATCTGTTAGAAATATATTCAGTTTATACTGGATACCAGTAGTTTGACAATAATATTCTTGAGCTCAGTGTAAGAAAATAATAGAAGTCAATAAAAGGGAGTCTTTTCATTGTCTGAAAAAGAAAATACAATCAAAATAGAGTATAAAACGGTCGCAAGCAGACGATGGTGTGTCAGCATCACATGATAAATTAATGCAATAGAAGGTTAGAAGAGATCAACATGGTTGGCACCACCGCTTAGAGGGCGACATTTTACGACTCAAGTTTTGCTGTTTCATTTCTGCATACAAATAACGAACGCTCTTCGGCAGGCAATGGGATATTAGCTCGACTAAACACCACTGGTCAGCTCATTCACATAAAACAAAAATAATTTAGAAATTCTCTTGTTGCCAAGTCCATATTATAAGTTAGATGCATATGAACTTTCCAATCAAGCTTCCGGAACTCTTACCGATTGTCTGGTCTTATGCTGATGGAATACAATCCCTCTTCTATTGGCCAAAGCTGGTCGAAATGTTGACATTATAAGTCCAAATTATAAGTTTGGCCATAGGAAAGTAGTTCATAGTAGATGCTGATCGTCAATTCTGGCTTAACCACCGTTTCCGCCGGCTCCCCATGATCCTATACTGACCTTTTTCGCTTAAAGTTGTCGTAAGTGACACACTTTTCATTTCCAGTAACCTTTTGGATAGGAGATTTTGTTGCGATTCGCAGATGGTAGTTCGATCCATGTGGTTTTTTTTCAGTCTTTCCATATCTAGCCTTTTTAAATGGTTCCAAACGGTTTTTTGTGCAATGTTTAGCTTCTGTGCAATCAAAACAGTACTTTCATGACGATCGGACTTAATGATTTTTATTATTTATCGATATTTTCGTGCGTGATTGGGTGTTGCAATAGCAGCACCATAAACACTTTTCACATTTTCAGCCGTCTGGCCTTCCTGACCCATATGTCTTCCTTTACTCTAACGTTCTGCATCGAAATATTAGAAGTTTGAAGCACCCCCTACTACTAAGCCCAAAACCAGAACTCTTGTGTATAGGAACAAAACAAAGAACAAAAGTTCTTGCTTTATTATAAAAACATGTTGCAACGAATGCACGATTAATAAAACTACAATAACATATGCATAAATAATCAATGATTTAAAAATTATAGCATGATATAAAAATATATAAAATTTGTAGCATGACATTTTTTACATTATTGCTAATATAAATGTAATATAAACAATTTCTCGGTTCACTTTTACACCAAAACCACTTTTTTTCTTCCATGGAAAAAAGTTGCATGCGATATATGTCTTTATCTCACGATAAAAGAAACAAATTTCGCTGACATTCATATTGCCGCATGCAAGTGATCACATAAGCGCACGTAATTTTTTTTGAAAACTTAATAATTTTTTCGTGCGCAGAAAAAATATTCTTTTCGAAAACTGCATTATGTACGCAAAACCAACAACAATTTGTACTGGCAACGAGACTGCCGCTCACTTCTCCGTGTCGCGACAGTCAATGCAACGTGGTTTACCGTTACTGCTGTTTGGTGATTTCCACTGCGCGTTGCGCTGTTTATCATAAGGAAAATCATCATCATAGTAATGTTGTTGCTGTCGTTGCTGACCATGCTGCTGCTGCTGATGTTGATTGCTGACGAGAGCCCAGCTGGTCGTTTTGGTGACGGTGATGTGGAAGAGCGCTGCAAATTATAGCGGTGGAGATCGTTTATTAAATATTTATGTTGAAAAATGGAAAAAATGATATATGAAAATTGTTAAAAATCAAAAATAATAAAAAAGTTTCTAAAAATTAAAAAAAAAAATTGTTCAAATAAATCAAAAAAAGATCAAAATTTAAAATTTTTCATAAAATATTTAATTTCAAAATTTTTTTAAAGCATGAAAAATTAAGAAAAAAATAATAAATTAAAAAAAAGAATTATTTATTAAAAAAACTATAATATATTAAAAAAAAAAATTCTTAAAAAATTACAAAAAAAAAAAAAAAAACAAATTATAATTACTTAAGCAAAGAAAGGCGGTGAAATACTTCATGATCTTAGCCTGTTTTCTACGCGTTGCAAAGAAATATTTAATTTTTAGCAATTTTGTCATTGACTATGTGGCCTCTTCTACAGTTCGCTGCTTGCAATATAAATGTTAACGATCCTCAAGCAATTCAAAGCTTTTATATTTTCACACTGCCCTTATTTGTAGCTGTTTGCTGTGACGCAAATCGGTTAGGAATTACATTTTGTTTTTGTATTTTTTCATATACTTTTAGGTTTATTTTGCTCCAAATAGCGTGTTGTAACACAATACTTGCTGCTCGTTTATTTCATGCAATAATAAAAGAATATTAATAACAAATTAACTTTTTTCTTTAATATTCGCTCAACTTTGTGCTCAATCGGCACACATATTTTATATATTTTTATATATATGTGTTAGTGTGTATTTGTTACATTGGCACTCGTTCAATCTGGGTGTGCTTTGGTTAATTTGGCTAATTTGCCTTCTGACGTGAAGAAATGCATATATTATTGACGGCCAAAGCATCGTTGTCAAGACGGACTTTCGCAAGATTGTTGTTGTTTTTGTTATATTTTGTTAACACACATACATACATATACTGAATTGAAGTGCGTTCACATAAATATCCCGTACCAAAAGTGACCAGAAATCAGTAAACTTGAAGGTCCAAAAGTTAATTTCGACTTAAAAACTTAAAATGCGCGACAGTTAGGTCTAGTTTTAGTCTAGTTTTATGAACGAACTAGTAATATCAATTGATTTCGGACATTCGTGTGAGATATCACCATAACATGAAATCGATCATTTACGTTGGGACCGTTGCATAGCTTGCCCCATCAAACAACATTCATATATCATACAACCGTTTATGATCGTTTATTTCGGTATAGGCCACACTACCCTTTTTTAAAAAGAATGATACCTGATATGATTGATTCTGACCGCCATCCCTATCTAACACTAATATTTAATCATGCCTTGTATCTCACTTCCACAGCTGTGAACTTTGTGATACTCAAAAATTCTTAAAAATGGATCATCAGATCTTCATAGATCAACGAAGCATTTTGAGCTTACCACAACTTGGATAAGGCTGTTAATATTAATCCCGGCCACTTCGCTTAGTTCGCCGAAGGTGTGCCTACCGAGCTATTTCAAACTTAGGAAGTGCCTAGATGAGTCCATCTCATCTTCATCCATACAACTTTGGCAAAAAGCGTTCGACAAAATATTTTGCCGCACCGCATGCGCGCCTATTAGACAGTGTTCAGGCAGATTACCAACAATTGCGGCGAGATCAACTCTTCTAACTACAAGTACTTCAGAGAACTTCGTACGATTCACTTTGGGCCAGAAGGATCTCGCAGTCATATAAATTCTGGTTATGGACCAGCGCTTGCCGAGCACATCAGAGGTCGATAGATTCAGTGCTAGAAATTGGGATAAGGGGACCTCTCTAAAGCTCATCCCCTTTGTAGTTTCCGGTAATTCCGCTGTGACGGGACACCTAAACAAATCTAATACGGAAACTAATCTTACTATTGCTAATAAGATCATGCACTCTTTGACTACCTTTGAGTGCACAGTCAGCAAGCTTAAAGTTAGTATATTCGCTCTGCTATCGGAGTGAATACACACACCTCTAAAGAGAGCTGCATTTCGGAACAGTACAGCTACGGCTACTTTAAAGGCAGCTACCTCCATTTAAAAGACGCAACAGTGATATGCTAGGCTGAATCTACAGTTGATGAAGAACTCCAGCTCTTACACTTCATCCGTAAAAGGATCCACTGCACTTCTTCTCAGCAGCTTCGCTTTGATAAGAAATCGCTAGTAGGTATGTGAGCACAGAAGAAACCACCAGGAGAAGGTACGGCGATGTAGTGATCCAGTGACATATTCAACTGGCTTCTATATGACTTTTCAATTGGTCTTTCTACACTTCGCATGCAATATTTTGAAACATACTGTAATTAAAGAAAGTAACAAAGCATTAGTCAGTTCTATTAAGATACGTTTAAGAACCAACAAGCAAACCGCCTAAAAGTATGCTCAATTGAAATACATCACTACGGCAAATACTTGGTATTGTTTACATTTTTTCATAATCAACAGACGCACTAAATTAAATTTGCTTAAATTATACGAAATAAAAAAATATTTTCGCGTCTCACATATAACTGGTTTTTGTTGTCATTATACTTCGTTCTTTTAAATTTTAGTCAGCAGTCAATTAACCGAATGTATTTTTGGCGAATACATTTATGATTAACAGCCAATTTAGTAGCAATTAATTGTGGGTAATTGAGTGCACTTACTGGTGATCGCTGGCGCTTGTAACATATGAGCGATTATACTCAGTGATCTTGTTGTGCGATGAGCAATTGAACTCTAAAGCGATTATTACATTTTGACTAAGTATTTCGCAAATTTTAATTAAATTTGACACGTTTTGTCGGTATTTAATAATAAACATGTTAATTGTGTGGGTTCTTTGACACGCTGCTGACTTGTGTCGCTGGAATCGCATAACTGTTAATGTGAAGCATGTTAATAAGTACTTTTGTCAACAACAAAAATCAAAAATTCAAAATAATATGAAATGGTTTCTCAAAACTCTATAACAAACAGAGCGTAATTCTGCCATAAACAACTCTCTCATAATCATAATCGCTTGACCCTTCGGGCGCGATTAGTTGGTGTTAGTAGGATAAAATCTAAGCACACACTCAGGCACGCTTGTAAGAAATGTATAAGCCCCTTCCACTTTAAGAAATTAAGCACCAAAAATGATGCCAGTTCGTGACTCCGCCTAGATGCAAACGAATTGAAGGGGTCTATTAGAGATTGTTCCCTCGATACGCAAGATATACATGTATAGCAGATCCTTGGAAGATGATTTGATAGTAGACATTCAAAAGGACAAAACTTTGTTTATATTATTGTGAAGTAAAGAAATGTAAAAGATATCAAAGTAAGAGGGAATAATGTATTTTATAAAGATAACGCTATATTTTTATTTGTAGGTATGTTTTATCAAAACCTTAAAATAAGTTTTCCTGTTGCTAACAGCATTCAAAAGGAATCTTAATAAATTTTGTAAACTCAAAAAAAAATCCTCAATACATATGTAAACGTCAATACACTTCAAAATAACCAGCAATATCATATACACCGTCATCGGAGCAGTTAAAAATAAAGAAAGAGCTAAATGAAAATTAAACGTAATTCAAATTTTACATTACCTGTTTGAGAGAAGAGTTCAACAAATAAAAGAAAAGTATCCAAAAGTGATCGAGAACACGAAAGCAGCGTGCAATTTTTTAACAAAATGTGATTGTAAAATATTTGTGGCTCGAAAACGCAAGAAAATTTGCATAAAAATGAAAAAAAAGAATAATTTTGGATGATATTACAGACAAAGGAAATGAAACGGTCACAGCTGTAAATGCATAAGTGGAGCCGAGGAGCCAAAAAAATTACAAAAAAACCAACTTTGAATCGTACGGAGGTATAAAAAGCGCTTGCCGTCAGCAAACTCAGCCGCAGAACGTTCTGAGACGTTCGCTGTAAACATTTATATAATTTTCGAATACAATATGAAGGGCTACTTATTGCTGGGTAGGCAGCAACATATATTTTTAAACATTTTAAAATATTATTTTAATAAATATACTTAAATTTAAATTTAATATCAAAAATAAAAAACATTTTCGACTTATTAAAAAACGGGTTACATTTTCAATTCCAGCACTGATTGGCAGCGCTTACGCCCACCAGGGCAGCGCACAAGTACAGCAGAACTTGGTCAGTGTGGGTCAGCCGGGTCACCCGGGACAACCTGTCCAGTCGGGTCAATCGAGTCAACAATCCCAAACACACCCACATCACAGTCATCAAGCACAAAATCAACACGCACAAGAGATTGAGCAACATGTTGGGCAACTTATGACGCATGGCCAGCAACATGTTTCACACCACCAGCATGAGCAACAAGTTGTGTCCAATCCACTGCAAGTTCATCAACATAGTCAACACGGACAACAACAACAAGTGCAACAAGTGCAGCCACATCAGCATCATGGACAACAAGGCCAGCAACATCAGCATCATGGTCAGCAACACGTGCATCAAAGCCAACAATATGTGCCTCAAGGCCAGCAACATGCACATCAACACACGCAACATGTTGCACAGCATGCCAAAAAGCAACAACAACAGCAGCAATATCAAAAAGTACCAAATGCGCCACAACTTACGCTAACCGGCGTAGTGCAACATGTGCCCATACCGCATCAGAATTATAAGGTGCCGAATCGTGTGCAGCATGTTGTCGATCTGGTACACACACACATTCCACAAGTGCTGAATTACCACAAATTGCACAAGAATGACGTGAATCCGATCGGTGTTGCTGGCAAGGCAGTAAAAGTGCCCGTGATACCGCCGAAGGTGCAACAAATTGTGGAGCATGCGCACACACACATTCCGCAAGTAGTAAATCACCATATACAACAACAAAAGCAACAGGTTGTTGCACAAAATCAACAAGGTGTGAACGTCAACAAAGAACCACAACAACCGGCGGTAGGAGTACAGGGTGCTGTTGTAGCGCGCAGTCAGTCAGCCGCAGTGCCACCACAAGTGCAAAAAATTGTCAAGCATGTGAACAAACATATACCACAAATGATTCTATACCTAAAACAGCAAGCACAAAAATTACAAGAGTTTATCAACAAATTTCAACAGCAACAACAACAGCTGGCACAAGATGTTGCCAGTGAGCAGGCGGTGATGTTGCCGCTGATACCCGCTAAAGTGCAAAAAATCGTTGAACACGTGCATCAACACATTCCACAAGTGATCAGCTATGCGCAGCAACACAAGCAGCATGTACAAAAACAACAGCAACAACAAGCGAATGTAGTGCAACAAGTGCCAAGTGTTGCGGTGTCTCCATCCGTTGCAAAGGTCGACGAACAAGTGCAACAAAACGTTCCACAAGGCAACAATCAACATGTACAACAACAACAAGGTGTTGCTCAACCACCAGAGGGTGTGGTAGTTGCACGTGGCGTGCAACCTTCCGTCCCGCCAAAGGTGGAACAAGTTGTCAATCAAGTGCATCAACACGTTCCACAGGTGATCAGTCAAGCACAGCACGTGCAAATGCAGCAACAGGGTGTAGTTCCGCCGATGCAAGGTGTTGTAGTACCAGAGCAGGTTCAGAAAACTGTTTATACCGTGCAACAAGACGTCCCGCAGAAGCATCCAAATCAACAACAGGTGCCAAATGCTGCCAACGGCGCGGTTGGGCAGCTAACCGTTGAAGTTCAGTTGTGAACACCGAAATATTACATCGATGCTTCGATTTTCCAAACACTCTTCCATAAGATTTCGTTTAGTAAAAACTCACTGCCTTCATTTTTGACATAAATTTTTACCTAAAACACACACAAAGCCACATTTGTTTTATTTCTCTTTCGGTATTGATTTGGATTGAATAACATCTTTTTACGTCGGAGCAAATTTGGTTGCTCCCTGGTTTAATTTTTAAGGCATTAAGTCAAACTGCTAGCTTTAAGGTGAATTCATTTAGCGCACGATACTCTTTCACGGCGCTCTTCTTTTGAGTACCGAAAAAACAGTTTGAAGTTGATAAATGATATCTGGAAGATCCAGACCTTCACACTTTTCCCTAAAATCCAATAAGACTCCGTGTGTCCGAAGCTTTTTTCGTTATTGAAGCATTTAAGTATATTGCTGTGTCATTTCATGAGACCTAAAGCACCCAACTACGTTAGCGAAGTTAAACAACCTAAGGCATCCTAATGCTGTTGATATGAATAAGCTTCTCAAAAATCCATCAGCCGTTCGAAGACTGCTTGAAATTACTAGCAAAAGTAGCTAGATCAGGTGGAACTATAAGAAGTTTTATTAAGTTATACAGAAAATATATGCTTAGATATACTACTGATCGTTATGGATCACTAGAGTTATGGAGAGTATGAAAGCTTTTCATTTTAGGACAAAATATTTGGAGTCATCTACGTAATTAAAATACTTATAGAGTCTACCAACCTCAAAAATCAAGATGCATACATGGCCTGAGTGCGCTTTTGGAAGCAACTGGTGAAAGTTTTTTATAGTTTTTAGATCTTCCTGCGTCAACAAGCTAAAGTGGGAAATTGTACTAGTCGGTCAAGTCTTTTTAATTATATTTCATGCTATGTCCCCTCATTGAGGTCCGATTCGCCATTTTTACTGTCTATAAAGAGTTGCAAGATTTTAGAAGAAGAAGCTCCAATATACTTCGACCAGCGACTATTAAGAACATATCACAAAACCATTTGAGTATTTCACAGAAATCTACCAGTCGTCACCATCGCAGATTTGAGCTTTTGTACAGAAATACATAACTCATCTTATCTTCTAAATAACTGCTTGCCGTTCGAAATAATAAGCAAAAGTTTTCGTAATTTGAAAAATAGAAAATTTATTTAATTTAGTTTGAGTTTATATTGGATCGAAACTTCCCTAACTAAGAATTTGAAGTAAGGAAGTAAATCAATATGTGAAAATATTAATTTCTTAGTGTATATTTCATCCAAGTTGCGTAGCTTTGTTTTACCTAGCTTTCAGCTTTTCATTTCGCATTTTATGTGTTCATCATCTGATCATTGTCGACGTTCCTGTGTTTCAACTTAGCCATGAACTCGCACGCCTTATGCAGTGGCATCTTGTGGTCCAAATATTTGTGCGAGTACGCGATTGGTATCCAAAACATTGCCATATTTAGGCGGCTTAACCTTTACGGCTTGTAAAATGGACTGTGACACGACACCTACTCCCGGTAAAGGCGATTCCCGTGGACCCCCAGGTGGTAGTAGAATAACTTCCTCGCTACTAGATACAGAAGCAATGGAATCTGGCACTGGTATAATTGGTTGAGGTTGTACGGCCGGTGTAATCAGTAGCTCCTCGCTCGAAGCCGATGAGATGGAGTCGATGACTCGTACTTTGTATGCGTTGACGCTTAAGATGACTGTGTACAGGATGAAAAGTAAGTATAAGTGTTGCGGCTAAATGGTTACCAAAATAATATTTATTATTTACTTACTGGCTACAAAAGTCACAAGAAGTTTCATGTTGTTGCTTTAAGTAAACGCAGCTGTTAACTGTCTTAGTTGAGTTGCAACTGAAAAGCTTTTATATACTCGAATAGCCTCGGTTCGATAGTGAACACGCGTTGCGGCTGACGCCCCGCCTAAAAAAATCTTAAAATTAAATTATTTGCTGTGATTTTTATACTCTTTACCTTTTGTATGCTTAGTCGATCATGAAAACTTTCATTTCCATTTCTCAGAACTTTCGAATTCGGCGTACGATTCATAATTCTGCATATTGCTTGTCAGCCGAATGCTCGACGCATATGCCTATCAAAACCACGCGCCAGCCGCCGCTCGTGTCTTAATGCCATTATAAATTTTTTATTTATGTATTCTGCCACAAATTTAAATTTGGTACTTTTTCGATTTCTTCGTCTGTCTGCTGTCTCGCTGCACCAATTGTAATATTTTTTCGCACACCCACTTTATTAATCATCCATTTACATATGTAAATGAGCGTGAGGGTGAGTCCCTACAAACAGGTTGGACATTCACCGTTTCTTCGCCTTTGATTTAATATGAATTAAATTTATTTGAAAGTGTGATGTTTTTTTCTGCTCACAGTAAATGGTTCTTCGGTCAATCACATCATGCTTCTACGCTTTTTGGTAGAAGCTCAGTCATATATTCTTTAAATTTAATAGTAATGTTATTGATGTAGATTCCATTGAAACTTTTCACTAGCTTAAACGTTAGGTTAGGTTAAGAGATCGATCCCAACAGGTAGCTCACTTGGAGAGCCTAGAACGCCGGTCCTATATAATTGATCATAAGACCCTCACAAATCGACAAAGCGCATGAGCATATCACAAATTTGTTGAGATGGCTAATGTCAGTTTTGGTTTTGTCTCCTGGTTCGCCGACGGTAAGACTGCCGAGATGTTTCAACCTCAGTATTGCAGAAGCTGACAAGATACAATACTTACAATTACATTTTTATTGCAGAAATATTCGCCAAGATTTGGAAATGCTGCCATTCTGACTCGGACCAGATTTTAAACCACGAGTCTTCATGTGGTAGACTTATATTGAACCCACTCGGTCATGACTTATTATTTGTTGACGAGTGTTACACTTCGGATGAAGAGCAGAAGACGCCGAAGTTTCCGGCATCCAAAAAATGGTTAGAGCTTCTACGTTTAGAAAAGTAAACGGTCCTTAGCAAAATACACAATAGAACCTGTATGAACATCATACGTGGACTCAAGAGTCTACTGCTAACTTTACTAAAGTGATAATAATATTCGTTAGTTCACAACCCCAAATCACATCGCTCTGGGAGCTTAAGTAGAACAAATCGAAGTACATTATCACCCAAAATGACCAAGCGGCTAATCAACATTAAATTATTTATCTGTCCCACACACTGTGCCGAAGATATAGGTATTAACCAGTGAGGTCGGGGGCAACTAATTGCGTTCAATTGCGTATCTGCTGACAAATGTTTGCGTATAAATAACACAAAGTACCGTTAGCTTCCATGTAGGCAACACAAGCAACTTTGCTGAAAGCATAAATATTATATACGAATGGACATAGCGAAGATGCACTCCGGAGGTGGCGTGAGTCCCAGTGAAATGGAGGTGTAAGAAATGGTCAAAGTGAGATTACGCATTTCAACGGTATTTAGCCGGTAGCAAAAGGCTACGAAAATCCTGTTTTAAACGTGTGCGTGCCACATGCGTGTTGCACAATCAATTTGTGTTTATAATATTCAAGTTGCTGCAACACACACCGAGATTTTTTGCTTATGCCACCGTGCCGCAGTTATATAACTGTAAGAATAATGCGTTTGTGGCATAAGTTCGCAGACGCAGCGTGATATGCTAACTTTTGTACGCCCAAAACATGTAAATAAATTAGGAACGCATTAATCGCTAAATGCGATACAGCAAATAATTCAACCGACAAATATGTGTCTATGAAAGTGTAAATAAATGCGTGTTAACACCAAGGCAGATGATAAATGAGTGCTTATGGAAGAAAGGTGGTGATAATGCAAATGCAATTAGGTTTGGAATGTGCGTGCGGTGTGTTGAAAAAGATAAATCATTAATAGAGGTAAATTTTCGCTTATTAGGAAAAAACTTAATAAAAATAAAATATGATATCGAAGCGAATATGAAAGAATATTATATACGAAATTTACTCCGAATATTTAACTTACTCCGGAAAAAATATTAACTCCGAAAAGGCTTAGCTGAAAGGTTGTGAAACGGTAATATGTACTCCGAAAAAAATATGCCGAATATTTCTCTTGCTCCGAAAAAGAGTAACTCCGAAAAAGCTTGGTTGAAAATTTGTTTATTGATAATATGTACGCTGAAAAAAATATGCCGAATATATCTCTTACTCCGAAAAAATAGTAGCTTCGAAAAATGTCAATTGTCGAATTTAAGTGAAACGTATGTAATTGGTATATACCGTAAATTTATTCAAAATCGTTGGAATAAAATATGCGAAAAAGTTTTAACTGATTAATACCAAGCCTTAAAAGTGGCTTCGGAATTTTTGTAAATAACTCCAAATTAATTTCAATATTTCCGAATATTTTATATACTCCGAAAGAACAGCGAAAATTTATAAAACTTTATAAGAACAATTTTGTATAAAAGGTTAATCTAACAAGAACTGGTTAGAAATATTTTGAAAATATGGTTTCGAAATGATGACAAGTTCTACCTAATAAACGATTAATTAAAAAAATTTGAATTTTTAAATAAATTAGAATTTAAAAAAAAATTAAAAACTTTTCATTGTAAAAACACGATTACCGACTTTTGAGAATCGAATCGTATGTATTGTGAAAGTACAATTATTCCGAAAAACAACTTTATCAATAGTAAAAGGAAAAGGTAATAACAGCGACGCTCCGCCTTCCAAATAAAAACTACGAATAAGGTATCTTTATACACATACATACATTGTACATGTATTACACAGAAGCCAATATTTTTTCCAATTTAAATCTCGCCGATTTTCAGACCTTCATAAATTTTAAACTTACTTTGACCCATTTTAACTTCAATAACAAATAACTTTTGTGCTGAATTCATTCATACGGAAAAGAAATATGATTTTGAATTCTTCTAAGCTGCATATGTGCCACTTTTTCTCAATATATTATATATATGTATGCGTATACATATGTATGTACACATATGCTGCTTACCTTTCGCCCAAAACTCATTCAAGTGAAAAATTGCGAAATTTTTCTTTGCCCTCAAAGGTGGTAGCAAAAATACTTGGAGAATTCTTGCTGCCACTTGCAGCCTTGAATGAGTTCGCGGTATTGAAAGGTCCTTACACACACCTACATATGTACATAAATTGTTTATATAGATTGCTCCCACCTACTTGTAAATTTGTGCATGTGTGAGTAGCTTATTGGTTTGTTTGTTGCCAAATCGCCGTATCATGCCACTTGTGCCGAACTTGCCACACCTGAGTGCTTTGCTGCGATTTCGTAAATAATATTGCATATTTTTTCGGTTATATGGTACACACGACTGTGAGTGAGCAAAGTAAGCGCGAAATTGGCGTTTGAAGTTTTTTAATTTAAGTAAGATTAGTTGCGAGAAAATATATAATATAAAATATCATCGGTTAAATAACATGTTATTGAGCAATCTTGGATACAGACTTATTGTACTACGGACCGACACACTCAAAGGGTCTCTAACATTGAATTTTGGGTGTTACAAACATCGTGGCAAACTTAAGATACACTTTTCAGGGTGTATAAACCTCATAGCTACATATATGCATCTGGGTAAAAAGAAAACATGTTCAACTAAGTTTTCTTGTTCAGCGACTTCAAAAAATCTTAGTAACTACTAATGACATCGAAATATAATTATCATCGTTAAAACTATTAGAGCACGACCAAGCCTATACTTAGTCCACTGTTGTTGTCAGCATACATACATATTATGTGCTTAAATGGGTTGCCGGCTTTCCTGTTGTAAAACTCAAACTTAGGCGCCTCTATTCGCGCCTGGGAAAACAGCGTCAGCATCTCCTCACATATGTATGCATATACATATATTTGTATATAAAAATTGTCTTCTATTCTGCACTTTATATTTTTTTTCGGTATGTGAACAACTACACACACACATAATTGCTTTATTGCTGGTCAGCCTTAGCAGGAATTTGCCTAACCAACCACGCGGCCACTCCGCATTCCACACACGAGTGTCTTCTGCAGCCTCTTTGTCCTCTATTGTGAATTTCACGCGCTTGACGCTTGAAGCGTTTTGTTAAATTTGCTTGCTCATCGAAAATAGTTGTTTTGTTGGCTATATAGACACATATGTACATATGTATCTTTGCGGTTATAAGCATCTCTCTGTTCATTCATATCGACATATATTTATGCTTATAAGCCTTCCTCTTTGTGCGTGCTGCAGGATATGACAATTCTTTTGTTAGACTTTACAACCATTAACTGCAGAAATGGAGTACAGTAAAGCCATCGGACGTGTGTGAAGTTTATTCTTTTTTATCGTTCACAAATTGAGAGGCTTTTCGCGCAATCTTAATGACATGATTTAAGCGTAACGATCAGTTTAAAGCTTCAAACAATGGTGCATATTAATTATGCAAGTTATTTTTCTACAAGAAGCTTGCGTACCGAGATGCCAAAGGGTGCTTTAGCTAATGGTAATGAACTAACAATGCAATTTTAATTTCACAAAGTTGAAGAAAAGAGAAAGACCCTTTGTATAGACCCTTCATAGATGTCGAACTCCTCTTCTAGTTAAAGAACGCCGCTTTAGATGAATAGAAATTATGTTTAGCAACTTTATATTAATATGTAATAGATTGCTAAAACAAAAATTTTCATTTCAGAAGGGCATACCGAGTGCTTGAACTTTATTGATTTTGAGTTGAGTCGTTGTGATCGGGCTTTTTACCCATAATCTATCGAACCGGCCTGTCCGGCCAACCACACCTTAAACTAGTGTAGATCTAGGTATAATTTTAAAATTGCGTTTAATAGAGATACATCCCTTTTTATTGTACTATCTCGAGTCCTTCGAACATTGTCACCATATCTCCCCCGGATACGGATCTTACTATTTTGGAAATGTTC